CCTTTGTAATGCTGTTTCTCCAGTTGTCCAGTGTTTCTTTAGCTCCAGTTTCATCTTGGCAACCATCAGGTGGTGATCTTAAGCTACGTCAGCTCATCTCCTGGTTTCCAGGTCTTCCATTGTCGTTCTGAATTTTAGAGTGATGCAAATATGGTCGATCTGGTTCTCCGTGGTGTGATCCGGTGAGACTCGTGTAGCTTTGTATACGCGTTTGGTTGAGAATATTGTACCGCCTATAACGATTTTAAAATCCACATAAATATGCAAACATCTCACTATTCTCATTCCTTTCCCACAGATCATGTCGTCTCACGATATCTTCATATCCATTGTTGTCCATTTCGACTTTGGCGTTTATGTCTCCTATTAGGATGGTCAGATATTTTCCTGTGCACCTCGTTATGATTGATTGCAGCCTCTCATAGAACTGTTCTTTGTCGTTGTCGTTGTTATCGTTGCTATCATTAGTGGGTGCATAACACTGGATAACATTTGTTGTGATTCCCTTCTTCTTTGTTTTGAAGGATGCTTTGGTGATCCTGGATCCGTGAGATTTCCATCCTACAAGTGCATTTCGTGCTTCCCTGGACAGCATTAGAGCAACTCCCTGAGTGTGTGGAGCATTTTTCTGTTCGTGACCAGAGTACAGCATCTCTCGCGTATCTGGCCTTTGTTGTCCAGCTTGAGTCCATTGGGTTTCGCTGATTCCGAGTACTGTCAATTTGTATCTACTCATTTCCGTTGCTATTCGTCAGGCCTTCCTGGTCTCCCACATTGTGTGGACGTTCCGTATACCTATAAAAAATGCTGTTCTGGTTGTTAGAAGGGGCGTCGGCCTCGTGACTTCCGAAGAATCTCGGCTTTCATCCTGAGGCGTCATAATTCTTCCTTGAACTCGGAGGGCAGAGTTTAAATGGTTTAATCAGGTTGACGTTTTTTTTAGCAAGATTGTTTTCTGCTGGATGAGGTTGTCGATCCCACGTCCAACCCTCACCATTTTTGTGGGCTTGGGACTGGCATTAACTCTAGAAGAGCTATAGGTGGAGTTATGGTTTGTAATTTGTATACCCAAAAATACACGTACACTTTAACCATGAGAAACACTTTAAAAATGTAGAGGCCCTATGTAGGATATAAGTGTTTGAGCATAAGTGTTTTCCTCGAGTATGGAGGTGATTATAGGAAATCAAGTAGTGAGACCAAATCTACCGATCGAGATAGTTGAGACGTGTTATGTTTGCCCAACTATCTCATACCCTGACGCGCAACGCTAGTTAGCATGGGAGTCAGTTGTAATAAACCTAGGGACGTCTTAACTAAGACTTGGCATCAATGAATGAAATAATTAACTGTTGTATAAGATAGCCACAATCGTCAGTTGTAGACGTCAAGTAACAGTTCAGAACCAGTCACACTTACTCAAATGCACTTATTGTTGATCTTCCTCTAGAATTTAAGTTTCCCTTTCGCTCGATTATCGTGATCAGTGGTTAGACACTTTGAATGACATGGCTCATGACCATCTGTAGTGCTTCAGGTACATCCATTATTTGTCTTCTTCGGAATTCTTAGATTCGAAATTTTCTATTTTTTTTCGCTTCTTTATTTCACTAGTTTGTATTTTCTCGGATCGTATCTCCAATCCCAAATCTTTCCTATTACCACTGATACTGTTACTACCTTTACTTTTCTGAGATTTGGCCAGACAATTCGATCTCTGCAATAATGGTTTATGGAAACTTGAACCGATGTACATACGTATCAGGTTGTGGCTGATTCATATTCTGTCTTTATACTCTTTAGAATCATATTCTTGATTTTTTAGTCGTTCTTATCAATAATACTGCTATAATATGAACTCATTTGGCACTAAGCTTGCTAACTTCATTTTATTATGCAGCTATATGCTTGGATCTACATTGGTTATGATTGACTGTTAAGCGTTTGTAAGGAGTGGCTATTGAATCTAGGGAATACTTTCAAAACGTTATCCACCCGAACAGTTTAAAGCACTGAATGAACATAATCCTGTGGATGAAATATTTAAATTGTTTAAGAAGATTGTGATACAGAATGTTTATAGTATATTCCTATCCGTCCATCTCGAATGGAAATATTAATTGAAAGCCACTGGGTTGCTATACTTTAAAAACGACCCATTTCATGAAACAATTTGTTTCCAATCTGAGTTAAGTAAAATTGTACTAATGCTTCTCTAAACCACCAGTAGCCCAGCTCTATTGACTTTCCCTGCTCTGGACCCACCTATTTTTCATTTAATCTTGTTTCTGTTGTCCTGTTTAGTTTTATTTTCCTTTTTGATGTCTCTGTTTCGAAATATAGGGACTTGAGCTAGTGTTCTATTGTTCTTGGTTCAATATAGTATCAGCTCAAAATTTGTACGTCGTGAAATGCTTTATTCTAATTATAAAATACTTGAGTGTTGTATGAATTGCACTAAAATAGTGACTTTGCTTACTGGAAATTGTCGATGCTTTTTATTCTTTCTAATTAGGGTTGTTCATATGATCCTAGCGGATCCTTGGGGTTTTGTGGAGGATCCCCTGAAAGTTAAAGATCAATCGAATGTGGGTGCAGCTCAAGCATGGATATTTTCAACTGTTCGTCATTTATTTCGTTCCTTTAATCCCTTGTCCTTTCTTCGTGCTGCCGGACCCTTCGGGCCTAGCCTTATCCACTATTTCCGTCAGGATCTAAGAGGGTTTTTCGATCAAAGGCCCATTCGCGCTGAAGAGGTTAGATATGTTTCCGATAAATTTTGTTATCTAAAGAGTTGTTTTTGTCTGTCGGAAAAAAGAACTATATGATAGGTATAAAAATGTTTCAAAGAGACAATACGCTTATTAGCCTATTATGAAAACCTAGTGGTCCAGCTGCACAGTAAACCCGTTTTTTTGTTGCTAGACGGATATCTCGCCTACACCATAAATGACGCAAGTTGGCGAAAGCTAGACGAGCCTTCCTTATCCGTGCTAAGATTTCGTCACATACCAGACCACAAGGGCTGATGAGACTTCCAAGATAAGTGAAGCAGTCAACACGATCAACTACTTCACTCCCTATCATTAGTTCAGGTGTCGATGCAACCCAATCCTGAAGTAACATTTTGCACTTCGAGGGAGAGAATCGCATCCCGAACATGCCTGCATAGTTGCTTATAGTAGTCAGAAGACTCTGCATGTTGTCAGCGTCTTCACCGAATAAAACTATGTCGTCGGCGTATTCTAAGTCAACAAGTGAGCCTTCCAGTAAAAGTTCAACTCCAGGAGATTGAGATGATGAAAGTGCTATCTCTAAAAGTATGTCAATGACAAAGTTAAACAAGAATCGGGAGAGTGGAAAGCCCTGACGAACACCACTTGAGGTAACCAATTCTGATGACAGTTCGCCATAGGCTCTAACTCGACCAGTTGTGTTCGAGTAGAGAGCCTTTATGAGGTTAATGTACTTCTTTGGTACTCCTTTCAGTGACAAACATTGCCATAGAACCTCACGATCAACAGAGTCAAATGCCGCCTTAAGGTCAAGAAATACTACTATTGTGGGACGTCTGAATGTATGTCTATGTTCTAGGACCTGACGTAGAGTGAATATCTGGTCTATGCAACCACGTCCTATAGCTTTTTCAACCTCACCGAGGGTTGGAGGACTTACATCAATTTGCCATTCAGGACGACTGGGGATCGTGGGTAACTGAAGTGTGGCTGAAGGCCAGTTGAACTGATCCTTAAAGTGTTCTGCCCATCGATCCAATCTCCTGGATTGAGAATGAATGATATGCCCATCTTTGTCTGAGATAGTTTCGCTAATAGTTGGGTTCCTAATACCGGTTTCTTTAATAAGTCTGAACAGTTGTCTGCTGTTACCTATTGCCGCTGCCTTTTCCATCTCTCTTAATTTCCCTACACACCACTGTTTGCGATCATTGCGTAGGATTCTTGTTAGCCTGCGCTTAAGTTGACTCCGCTCTTCGTTATGCTCAGAGCCAGGTGGGATGAGTTTTCGAGCATCTATCAGTAAGGTAGACGCTGCTGAGATCCAGTGTTTCTCTCTAATCATATGGTTTACCGTACTTGCAGATATCACTGCTATTTCCACTGCTTTTCGAATGTCATTTCACGCTGCCTCGGGGTGGGCACAACTTACAAGGCTGTCTGACTGTTCTTCTAGTTGTTCCTGAAATATATTCTTAGCTTGTCTATCATTAAGTAGAACCCTAAGAGGCTTCCTTGCAGCGTCGTTCCTACGTCCAGTAAGACGCAGACAGATATGCGCTCACACTAGAGCATGATCTGAATCTAAACATGTGCTCCAGAATGAGCGACAGTCTTCTATCGACCCCCTCCATCGGTGGCTGATGTGATCCAGTTGGGTCGAACGTTGGGACGAATTCGGGGGTCGCCATGTCAAAAGATGTTTTTCCTTATGCTCAAAGTTAGTATTTGCAAGAAACAGGCGGTTATCTGAGCACAGTTGCAACAGACGGTCGCCATTATCTGTTCTTTTAGCCACGACACCATAAGATCCACCCAGGTGTCTTTCCCTTTAACTTAGTTCACCTACTTGAGCATTAAAGTCACCAGCCACTATTACTACATTAGAACGCCTAGCTTCTCGGAGAAGGTCAGAAAGTTTCCTGTAGAACTCATCTTTTATATCGTCTGAGCTGCAGCTAGTGGGAGAGTAGGCAGAGACGACGAAGAGGCAACGACGAGTGTCCCTATCTTTCCGGGTCCTTACTGATCCGTTTAGTCGGACAGCGCATAGACGACTGTCTACTGGGATCCAGTCTGAAAGAGCTAGTTCTGCCCTAAGACTTAATGCTATACCTACTCCAGCGAGGTCACGGGAAGCAGCGTCAGGGCTTCCAGATACACGAAGCGTGTATCGAGATGGTTCTTTATTTTGATTAGGTGAGGTCAAATGAATGACGCTACTCGGATCTTGTATGCGCGCTTCGGAGATGCAGCACACATCGATGGTGCGAGATTCTAGAGTCCTAGCTAAGGAAGCCTGTTATCCTATTTGGTACAGTGTTTGGACGTTAAAAGCTCCTACATGTAGTTTAGAGCGTGGTTTCAGGAGACCAGGAATAACGTTCCGCGTCCTGGAATCGTTTGCTCTAGCGGTGCGAGGTTATAAAAGGACGTGGGAAGGGTTAGTCGTGGAGATAACAGAGTTATTAGGTGTAGGAATGATTTGATTGTGACCAACTTGGTCTCGTGTGCTGCTACAAGTATGGTGGCTGATATCACTTCCCGTCTATCCACATCGTGGAAGGGTATTTCTTAAGGGACCTGAAAAGGAAGTTGGATTAATGTTGGTCTTAACGACCTGGGAGCGTGACCGCAGTGCCCAAGAGACAACTGCTTGAGGCCGGTCGTGCACGATCTTTTTGTGGGAGGTTTCTTACTTGTTAGCCTCGTTCTTCAAAGGGCCTTACCGCTGGAGACGGAAATCCGTGAGGTAAGGTGAGGCATGACATTTTGGGTGTCGACGTTTTCTAACCCCACACCTCCTTGTGGGAAGGCAGCATCGCTGTCATGCTGGTTGTCTGAAGGAAACACCTTACTACCGTCACACCTCTGTACAGTCAGCAGTACGACTTCGCCTTCGGACCTTGGGATTGCTGCTTTCAGTCTTACCGCTCTTCAACCGACTTGTCTGGCATGGTAGGACCCTGAGGAACGATTGTTCCAACCAGCATAGCTCGATTGGATCATCACGATAGGCAAGCCCGACCACCACGTCAAGGTAGCAGCAACGGTCGGGGGTCTAGAAGAAGGGACAAAAGTGTTCTTGTGACAATCACAGAGGAATCAGTTTGACTAATATAGTGTCTAAAATATTACTTACGCCTGTTACTTCTCGTGAAGGACCATAGACCGCCCACCAGCATTCTCTATTCTTTCCAGTTGTATTTTATCCTTTTAGTATCCGCTTCTATTTTCCGGCGTAATGTGTCCTTTGGCCTTCCTCTTTTCCGTCTACCTTCAGAATTTCAAGCTAGCACTTGCTTCGTGATGAAGTTTTCATCAAGACTGTTTGTTTACAAACGGATATGACTGTTAAGTGTAAGATGTTAATTAGGGTTAATAAGGCCGTTAATTTTGATCTACTGGAGTGGTTCTCATCGGTTTTAAGCACTTCCAATCATTGTTAACATCGATATGCAGTACTCAATTCTAGATGAATAGGTTAGAATGAGAATAGAATTGAGGATATCAGGAGGTTACAACAGTTTGTAAAGCCAAAAACAGTGCTTCTTGATATGTCTTACTTTTTAATTGGGGTGTATAAGATAACCGTACTCTGTAGTTGGAAACAATAGCTGTCACTTTGTATTTTTTGTTCGTGTCCTCCCATTGATGTTTAGGATTACAATTGATCAGTCTCTTATTGGCATATGTGCATCCTGTGCGGATGGCCTCGATATTGCCTTAAGTCACAAGCATTATAAGCAAAGATATATGGTGGCTAGCAGTGAAATTCAGGATGTGCGTTTCACCCTATTTGGGACTTGTCAGCTGGGTGTGCCTGTATCTCAGGGTTGGTGTCCACTGTTCCGAAATGTAGTAATGTAGGTATATTCGCTCGTTGATTCTGTAAATCTAAAGTCTTAAAATGATCTCTTTTTTATATTTCCCGATTGACTCTAAACTGCATTTCATTATTACTTAAGTCTGTTTCTCTTCGCATTACATAAGCCGTCAATCAGGATTTTCCACCCTTAGCTTTCTCTGTTATTGTTCGTCTGTTGGTGATTACTGTCTTGTATTATAAATCTGTATACTCGCCACAATATTATTAACCACATTGATTTGGATTTGCCTAAGTGCTCGACAGGATCATGGTCATCTGTAATAAGGAATACCGTGATAAGAGAATTTCTGGTATAGCAGGTTCATGTCATTTATATAAGCAAGATCAATAATTTGCAACATGGACTAACAGATAAGAAGCTATCCAGACAGGCCTTTAAATAGGATAAAATCAGTGGAACCATATAGCAGAATATTCATGCCGATATATTAACTACTGAATAAATGTGTATGTTAGTGCTGTATTATAATTTCACAGTCGTCTCAATCCATACAAAAGTGGCATCTCATGGAAATTATGACTTTGGAGAACAATGAGTTGTGATATGTTGCAGGGTGGAATGGACTCCAATAATAGGGGGAAATTTAAAGTTAGAATCGGGAAGGGCTTTCATTGAAATCGAAAATGCAACAAGAGAAAATGTTTAGAGATCCTAGCAACTTCATTTCTTATTATCTGATATTTATTTCTTTATTACTTTTTTTTCACCAAGTACCAACCATGGGTTCATAACGTAAAAACCTCAGTTAGTATGTTATAGGTTATCTTAGTAAAGTAGCGAAGCCAATATAAGATCGGTAACGTGAGTCTAAGTAACAAAAGTAGGAGAACGACCTTAATATCACCGATTAGTTTCATTGTCCTCGTTTATAAAGAACCCTCAACAAAACAGAAGGTTTCGCTCCACAAACATGGATGGATCGAAGTAATCACTCTCGACATCAATGCATGCTAGTCAGTCTAAAGAAATATGTTCACTCATAGTGTTATGAGAGCACCAACCCCATGTATTCAGAAGGCCAACGGGTTACGACTAATCAACACAGAACATTGTTAATTGAGTTTATTCATGACAAAACGGAAATTTTTGAGGATAAAATACATCATGAGTCTTGATGCAAATTTTTCAGCAGGTCACAAATCAATGCATGATGTGAGTTTGATGAATTGCTTGGATTATTTTGGGAATGTAAGTTGTTGAAAGACGAAAACGAACGTGATGTAAGAGTATGGACTCTATATTCGTCTTCATGAGATTCATTAGATGAGTAATCAACACGTAGGATATGCGGGAAAGCAGTGTGGTGATTGACGAGACGTGGCCTGAAATTACAGAGGAAGTTTGACGGGTCAATTAAATGAGTGATTTATTAAGGGATAGTTCTGAGAGGGGATTTATAAAACTATTAGGTTTATGGTCTGGTGAAAGAGGACTTCCATTCAGCATTTGATTAGAGCTTCTGGAGGATAACTTTAAAAACAGGAATATCGTTCTCACCATTTAGGGACCTCATAGAACGGCAGTTGAGGGAGAAAAGGTTAAAAAATGAGGTGACGATATTCCTCTAAAAGCAGTTGTCAAATAGGATAGCCTGAGAGAGTATCTAAAATCATCAGGCAGGTTTGCAACTAAAGCAAGTTTGTAGTTACTGTTAGCAGAGCTGTAATGTATTGGTACGTTACAATCCTCTAATACTCGTAACGTTACACTAATAACCATCGACTTATAATGTCAATTAAAAAGGCAGTTCTTATGTAGTTTAATTTACCATCGTGAAGGCTAGATATTACATGGTTGTGTTTATGTTATTGGACTCACTAACTGAGATGTCGATAATTAACTCAGTTCTCTGTCAGTGTGGCCCTCCAAAATGTTGATCAAAATCTTTGCTAGTGCAGCGAGTAGATGTGACGTAGTCACGTGTAAGCTAATGCAGTTGCAGACCGATGCTTAGTATAAGTCACGAGGATTAATATTCTTGATGGCATTTTTAGGGGATTCAGTTTGGTTTAGCATTTCTGAAATCGAACAATTATAGCTCTTGACACAAACTCCGTGAGACTTTCTGTAACACTCATTAAATAGGTTTTTACTAGTGCCTGTATGAAAATGCATACGCACTATGGAGGCACAAGCTACTCCACTTCTTGTAGCAGATGAATTTTTGGGCTCAGGACGAATATATGTGGATGTGTCGTCTGAGATGATGGTATCTAGGTTACGATTCACACTTTATATATCTTAAGCCTCAAGAGAAGTAAGAAATGCCACTTTAAAGTTTGTCCAGTGACTATCATTATGATTGTCGTTACTGCATAGTCTACGTTAGTTGGATAGTACTGCAGAATTTATTTGCATATGCTTATAAGGAGCAACAACCATCAGCTTCGCAACCTCTGATTACTTTAATGGGTTTCGCTTATATCAGGTTCCGCCAGGTTATATCTCATCTCCCCAACAATTTGACTGGTCCTGCTAGTCTCCTGCATTGTGAGGACTTTCCATATACCTATGCTAATTGTTGCTCTGATTTTTAGAAGGGGCATCGGCCTCCTGACTTCCGAAGGATCTTGGCTTTTATCATAAGGCATTATAACTCTTCTAAATGAAAACCCTTGAACTACTTGAGCAGAATTTAAATAATTAAAATGGGTTTTTCTGGCTGGCGTTTGCTTTAGAAAAGTTCTTTTTTACGGATTGGGATTACCAACCCTCGACAGACTCTAGGCTGAGTTGGTTTATCATTACAAGGATTAATAAACCAATCAATCATCTACGAAGTTATAAATATTTGTAAATATATATTTTATGAAGGTTGATAAGATAGTTATGTATATATATAAAGAGAGAAAGAGAGGTGTCTACTTCGTCAATAAACGAACTTTAAAACCTGGAAGTAGATTTTGAACTTGTTTTCATCAGTATTTATCAATTGTGGGTTGTTTGTTTATTTTAAGTTTTTTAATGTAATCGCGATTGGTTTTCGGCTGGGCCTACGATAATTTGAGAATCTTTTAATACTAAAAAGACTAATGGGAACTTGACAGACCGGACGTTTAAGAAAAACACTTCGACGTTAATAATCCACACGCCAATTGGTGAAGGGACTTCTTAGAACAACTTTATCTTTCGAACAGATGACCAAAACTTCGACAACTCCGTTTACAAAGTAAGACCCAGTGACGTTGGTATGCATAACACAACTGTCAAACTGTAATTAAAAACAACTGATCAAATAACAGTATAGGTAATTACTGAAATATAGTTTAGAAAAGTGCTATCGAGATTATTCTCTAAGAAAAAGAAATAACATGTAATTACAAAAAATTAAGCAGTCTGAGTTCTCCTTAGCAGTTCATACTGGTGAATTGGTAATATGTTGCTCGGTTCGACGATTTCGTCTCAGGCACTCTCCGTAATCTGAATAGAATTTTTTTATAAATTGCATGAAATTTATGCATTAATGTTAGACACTTTTCTTGTTGAAAATGTCCAGTAAGTAAACGATACTATGTAAATGTAGATTACAATTCTAATTTCTAAAATTTTTGAATCCCCAAGATGACAGAAATACCTCGAACAGAACAACTTGAATCGACCCAGAATGTTTCTTACGATAAACACATTCAGTCAACTAATGGTGAGGATGATGTATTCGAGCCTCCGTCACCGATCCACATAGCGGTGAAGGCTGAGGGGACAGTCTCTGATAAATCAAGTTCCAATACACTGAATTCTATTGATTTAAACGATTTGGATGGGTCTGTAGCTTTGGATTACGTCTATCATATTAACTGTCAGCATCCAAGGTACCATTGTCTTAAATTACATCTTCTATTGGTTTTTTAACTGAACTAAGCTGTCCACTATCTGATTAATGTTATTTCGCATAAATAGGTTCAGGAGTAAAGGAGTAAAGGCATGGTGACTTTTCTGAAGCTTTCTCAGAGGCTTTTCCTAAATGTTTTATTACATCAGGATCAGTGGTCTTATGTGGACAATACAAACCAATTTGTCCTGTCAAATGTATGGGCAATTTTCTCTGAATTTCGCAGTAAAATAACATGATGTTCTTTACCTAGTTAAACTTTTGGTTTATTAAGCAAGAGTAATTAATTTTGAAACAGGTGTATTGTAGCCTTTCGCACTTTTTTGTAGTGAATAGTTTCTTTGATCTATGACGACTGATTCTCTTAATCCGCGTAATCGCATATGTATGTTTTTGAGTATCCTACACGTTGGCATTCTCTTCTCGAATTAATTTACTGTTCGTGATTGTCTTGACTCTGTTTACTTATGAGCTTCCCAGTGCATATGAGCACCTACAACATTCTAGTTAACATCGATGAATGAAAATTTATATCCTGTTTGTTTTAAAGGTAATTATGAGTGAATATAAGGGTGGAAATCCTATTCAAACGATATCGTATTTCTTCCATGATTAGGCGTACGATGAATATGTAGGAAGTCACGAGTCGTGACCTTATTTTCTATAAATGAACAATTATTAACAGTTCGGGATGTGATTGAGCGAATTTTAAAACGTTTTAATACACTAACCATCAGTCACACCAATAAATGAAAGTAGGCGCCATGTTATAACATGAAAGTCATCATAGTGAAACGTGATATATCTGTACGTTATTCTTATTTTAACTAATATCTGAGCAATAACAGTTGAATTTCTCTTGACAGTCAGTAGGTCACAGCGTAGAACTTCGTACGTACGTACATCAGTTCGAGCTGCCATACCACATTAGCACAGAGATGAAGTCATTTCATTTCATGTCATTTGTGTTGTTATGCAGTTGTCGATTCAAATCCCATAGTGGTAGAAGTAGTAAGAGTATAAGCATTATGTGAAAGATTAGGGTTTGAAGATGTTATTGAAGGAGTATAATACAGTGAAATAAATTTGAAAAGAGAAAAAGGATAGGGACATGAGGAATTCAGAAGATTAGAATTTGGTAGAACACAAAGAGTGGATGCATCTTCGCCATTGCAAACGATTTTGAGCCATGTCATTCAACGTCTCTAACCATCAGTTTCTATCATCTCGCGAATCCCAACCAGGTAATCTACACCTACCAACACGGCCCAGTCCACTTGTCAGCGACTTCATTGATTTGTGCCACGTTTTGTTCTGGCCGCCCCTAGCTTTCTTCCAACCTACTCCTACACCATAAAGCATTGCACGTCGGGGCAGTCGGTGGTTGGACATACGTAACACATGTCCCAGCCATCTCAACTGGTGAAGTTTCACTACTTCATCAATCCATTTGCCATCCTTACCTGGTACCCGTTTCCTAACAACTGCATTACTTACCCGGTGGTCCCAGGATATACGAGCAATGCTTCGAAGACACCTATGATCAAACACTAGTAGCCTACGAATATCCTCTACTCTTATTGGCCATGTTTCACTTCCATAATGTAGGACGGAACGAACTGCTGCACAGTAAACCCGTCTTTTGTTGCTAGACGGATATCTCGCCTACACCATAAATGACGCAAGTTGGCGAAAGCTAGACGAGCCTTCTGTATCCGTGCTAAGATTTCGTCACATACCAGACCACAAGGGCTGATGAGACTTCCAAGATAAGTGAAGCAGTCAACACGATCAATTACTTCACTCCCTATCATTAGTTCAGGTGTCGATGCAACCCAACCCTGAAGTAACATTTTGCACTTCGAGGGAGAGAATCGCATCCCGAACATGCCTGCATAGTTGCTTATAGTAGTCAGAAGACTCTGCATGTTGTCAGCGTCTTCATCGAATAAAACTATGTCGTCGGCGTATTCTAAGTCAACAAGTGAGCCTCCCAGTAAAAGTTCAACTCCAGGAGATTGAGATGATGAAAGTGCTATCTCTAAAAGTATGTCAATGACAAAGTTAAACAAGAATGGGGAGAGTGGAAAGCCCTGACGAACACCACTTGAGGTAACCAATTCTGATGACAGTTCGCCATAGGCTCTAACTCGACCAGTTGTGTTCGAGTAGAGAGCCTTTATGAGGTTAATGTACTTCTTTGGTACTCCTTTCACTGACAAACACTGCCATAGAACCTCACGGTCAACAGAATTAGAATTTCGCTTGTAGACATATGCTAACAATACAAACAGTTCACAGTATGTAACATATTTTTATGGTCATGTTTTATTGATTTCATAAGTAGCCTAGCATACTGTCCTCATGGTCAATGTTTAGATGATGATCTATATGCTGTTACCACAAACACTGCATCTGTTTTTTATTCGTTCTTGTTATAAGTAACCTTTTATTTATAGTTTTTATGTATTATTCTGTAAAAACACTTGCGTAACATTGCTTTCTGGAGTTTCCATTCGATTGATTGTCTTTCGACGTTACTGCGATCACATTGTGTCCTATGAATTATTGTTATCTCTATGTTCATTCATAAACTCTGCATAAATTCTATTTTTCATATAACCTTTCTTTACATTTCTTTGAATTGTTGTAGCGCTATGTAGAATTAATTTCCATTTATCAAAGGATAAGTCATAATAGCATATCAAAATGTTTGACATCGAAATTCATTGATTTATTCAACCTAGTTTATAATTAAACATGACGTTAATCTTTCAGTCGCTCCAGCGTTTTCAAAACAAGAGATACCTTTGTATTCTTCAACTAATATATATATATATATATATATATATATATATATATATATATATATAACATTTGGGTACAGTATTTGACATGAAATTAAGTTTATCACATCACATGGTGTTTTTCACATTTAAATATAAACAAAAATGTATATTAAAACGGGAAGTTATTAGGCACAAGTAGAATAACTTAACTATGATATCCGTCGTTATTACTATTAAAACATTTACGAATTGTTTGCAAATCACATTTAAAAAGTCTGGCCTCGTAAATCTTCTGTCAAGTAAACGCTTTCAAATTAGCCACTTGAAAAGAGTTACTAACAACATGCTTGGATTTACTACATTTACGTTGAAAAGTCTCGCTGAAAGCAGTTTTTATTGTAGATCTATATATACATATAGCGAGAATCGCTCATGCTAAATTTTAAATCGTTTAAATGCCTCACGCTAATCAACCGTATAAAGAATTTACTAAGTTCTATTTATTACGCTGTTCATAGACCATGAAATACTTGCTATAATAAAGTACCAAGAAATCCGTTGCAAAAAACGAAATCACAATGTCGTAACTATATAAAACAGGAATTTAAAAACACACAGTTCACGTACGATTACAATCAAGATGTGCACACCATGTTGTTTTGAAAAATGTGAAGCACTGCTACCGATAATGTTGCTAACTTTTCTTACTCTGCCTTTCTTATTGCTAACTTTGTCTCCCTGTGCCAGTGCGATGCGACAACTTGATACAATTCATATATGTTAACCCTGTTGGAGCATAAGCCGTCGATCAGAACTCTCCACCCAGCGCTGTCATGGGCTCTCCCTTCAGTTTTTGCCCAAGTGCTGTCCATCATTTCGATATCTGCCTCCAATTCCCGGCGTAGTGTGTTCTATAGTCTGCCTCTTTTCCTCTTGCCGTGGGGATTTCAAGTTAGTTTTGAGTCTCAGATGTTCTTCAACTGTAGGAATGCTTCCCTAGCTTTGCTAACCGTTGCCTTCAAATCTCTCTTGTTTATCAATGATACTGTTCGGGTACGTAAAAGCTTCCACCTCTTTCATAGATTCTCCACCAAATGTGATTCAGTCGCTGCTCGCTGTGTTGTATTCTAAGATGTTGCTTTTTCCTTTGTGTATGTTGAGGCCTACTGCTGCAGAGACTACTTTTACACTGGTTGTCTTCTCTTTCATTTATTCGTGTGTATGGTATAGAAGAACTAGGTCATCTGCGAAGTCCAAATTGTCTAGTTGCATGCAAGCTATCCACTGTATTCCGTACTTTTCCTGAACTGTGAAGGTCTTCATGGTTCAATCGACCACTAGAAGAAATAGAAAAAGCAAGAGTATTCAGCCTTTCCTAACACTGGTCTTCACTTGGAATGCATCGGTGAGCTGCCCTCTATGTGCACCTTTGCAGCATAGTCCTTCATAAGAAGTCTGTATAATGGTGATAATCTTCTCAGGTACACCATAGTTTCGAGAAATGTTCCACAAGGTTTTCCCATCCACGCTGTCAAATGTCTTATCATAGCCAAAGAAATTGATGTAAAGTGTTGAGTTCTATTCAGTCGATTGCTCAACAGTGATCCATAGTGTGGCAATTTGGTCGGTTCACGATTGATCCTTACAGAACCCAGCCTGTTGATCTTGAAGTTGGACGTCTACTTAATCTTTCATGCGGTTTAACAACACTTGAAAACTTTTCCTGGTGCTGACAGTAGTGTGATGCCTCTGTATTTCTCACACTTGCTCAGATCTCTCCTCTTTGGTATATTGATGAGGTATCCCTCTTTCCAGTCTGCTGGTATTTGTTCCCTCTCCCAATTTTTTCTGAAAAGAGTGTAGCGCATCTTTGTAGTCACCTCTACGTCTAACTTCAATGCTTCCATAGGTATGTTAATTGGAACTGCTACTTTCCCAGTCTTTATTTGTCTGATAGATATGCCAATCTTCTCTATTATTGGTGGGAGATCCGTAAGATGGTCTGTGTGCTAATTCGACTTTCGGTGTGTTCAGTCGGGCTGTTCTATCCAGGAGCCTTTCAAAGTGCTCTCTCTATCCATCTGTTCTGCTGCTCTTTGACCTCAGTGATTAATGTTTCTTGTTTGTTCTTGACCTGTCACTGTGATCTACTACATTTTCTCTCTAGCTTCTTAGTTGTATCACATGGTTACTCGATATTTCTTTCCATTCCATGTCATTCAGTTGTAGTTGCTATGTCTTCTACATATTTTCACTTGTTCGTTTTGATGCTTTTCTTCACTCCTTGTTTGCTTCTGTATATTCCGTCTGTGCCTTAGCTTTCGCTGTTCTTATTCGTTTGTTGTTGACTACTGTCTTCTTGTTTCTTCCTTCTTGAATCTTGCGCAGGGTATCAGCAGAGATCCATTCTTTATGCTGGTGCTTATTGCGACCCAGCACCTGCTGTTATGTTGAAGTTACTGCTTCTTAAATCTGTTTTCGGTCGTTATCGGCTTCCTCCTCTTTGAGTAGATTTTGCAAGGTTTGGAACTTGTCGCTCAAAGCTGTATTGGATTTGTTGAGTTTTTTTAATATCTCAAAGGAAGGATGTATTAACGTTGTAAAGCTTTTTCCAGTTGTTTAGTGCTTCTTTAGCTCCAGTTTCAACTTGGCCCCCCTCCAGGTTGTGATCTACAGCTATGTCAGCTCCTCTGTTTATTCTTTTGTGTCCCATGAACACTAATATTTTCATTAATGCAAATGCTCTCTGTAGTGTGTTTTGGTGAAACCCATATAGCTCTTTGTATGTGTTGGCTGGGGGAAACTGGTATCATCCATGACCATTTTGTTGAAAGCAAATATATTTTCAAATGTCTCACCATTTCCGTTCCTTTCTTACAGTCCATGTCATCTCATGACATTTTAACACTCGGTGTTGTCCTTTCCTATCTTGGCGTTTCCGTCTCCCATCAGGATGGTCAGGTACTTTCCCAGACGTTTCTCTACAATCTACTCCAGCCTCTCATTAAACTGATCTTTATCGTCTTCCTTGCTATCATTGGTGGGCGCATAGCACTGGATATCATTCATTGAGATCCTCTCCTTTGTTTTGAAGGATGGTTTGATGATCCTTAATCCATGAGATTCCGATCTTATAAATGCTTTTCGTGCTTCTTTGAAGAACATCAATGCAACTGTTCATATGTACGCGATATTCTTCATGACCAGAATACACTAGCACCTCTCTCAGTCGATTTGCGCTTCCTTGTCAAATAAATTTTTGGGAACAACTGTCTCCAATTAACTAAAATTATTCATAATATATCTGTAAAATGATTTTCGCCCTCCATAACGTAAAATGATGTCGAGGAATTTTGCATTGTGTGTAGTCGTTCTTACCCTTTTTATGTTATCTGTATAGAGTCATGGAAGTCTATGTATTTTAACTCTTCTGATTACAAACTTATATCCTTTATATGTATTATATAGACCCATTTCTAGGTTAAATATCCCGGTTCCTCGAAATTTTGATGGAATACTCTCAATTTTTTAACATCTTGTCAAATAACCTTGTCGTATTCGTGACTAAAAAATCTGTCACATTAAAAATCATAAGAGAAAAGTCGTTTAGGCCTGGTGGCTCGTGATTCTGTAAAGGATGAGTTTTCTTGCGGGTCCACTTCTTTAGGTGCATTTGTGTTCACTGGCAGGGAAAAGGTCACAGTTTTGTCGAAATCGGTGGGGCAGTGAAACTGCATAACGTTATAGGTGTCTGCAGTTTGCTAGCTTAAGCACCGTCAACCTCACGGATTGTTTCATTTACACTAGGTTTGTACTTGCTGCTGACCCCAACACATACAGGTTTTTCTCTGAAAGTAAAGTTAAATCAGTTGACATTTCGGTCCACCGCGATCTAGTCGGTTTTCGAGCAGTTTTCAAAAAGTTGTTAGACCTTTCTATGATAAAATAGAACCGTCATAATTGGTCAGATCCTGTACATGCGCACATCTAAGTTTTGTTTGAACAACTAAACGTTTTATAATTAGCCTTTGTACTTTTTTGTCGTAGATGACTGCAAACATATGTTTGTGTTATAGTTTCATGCTTCTAGTTGTTCGTTGCTCAAATTCGTATATATTGATTCACCTTTTGAAAAGTAATTTCATGCCTGCATTGTCCACTTTTGTACTGTCAGATGTGGTCTTTTCTGGATTAGGGGAAAATTAATAATACGAATTGTGGTGTTAATAATGATGAACCGAAAAGCGACTTATTTCATATTCTGTGATTACTTAAGTAAGTTTCTTATCTGGGGATTTATGTGGGTGATATATTAGTAGCTTGTTTTAACATTATTATTTTTTTAATTTTACGTTCTTTGTGTTGTGTATGGACTCAAAAAATCACATAATGTCTTATCGAGTTATTTTTGTTGTTCTGATTATTCAACCCTGCGGATACTAGAGAGTTTGTCCAGATGAGTTCTAAACGAAGGCATCTTCACCTCAAGACCATCTCTGCTATTCAGTCTCGTACACAAAATCTTGTGTGTAGATGAATATGTCACAATACTTATGTCCCAACCTAAAACAAAAAAGATTCTTGTCAGCTGATTCATTCTCCTTTCATCCAATATGTACTAGGTATGTTTTCCGTCTCGTAAGAATGTTCTTTACGAAAAACCATCTATAGAGATAGAATAGGAAGTAATATGTACTTTTCATAACAGTTTATCCTTCTTATCGCGCTATTTCATTCTAATTCTGCTTTTATTATTGGGAATACAATTTTCATTTAAGCGGTGAAACAGGATTCAAATCATTATGTAGTTCAGTTGGATGGCCTCAACGCCCAATGTTAAACAGAATTAGCCAACTCGATCCTAATGTTCCTGTCACTTTTATATATGGTTCTCGATCGTGGATGGATTTATCATCAGGATATAGAACTCGTGTGTTACTTCCTAATTCGTACGTAGATGTAAAGGTAGGTAGCCACCTAGTAATTTTTTTTTCACAAATAATCTAGGCTGCACACACACCAGTGTTTGATCAGACACATTATCCGTTGGTCTTTGACACCCAGTTTGCATTTTAGTGACTCGTCGATCTGACTCCGATATGAAATAAATATGCTATGAATATAAATCCTCCGTTTAATTCCGTATACTGCACTTAGTCTAACTCCGTTTGTCCGATGGAGGTAATAAGAAGCCAAATGCGAATTATGTTGGGTCGGGCTATTTCATTGCAATCGTTTGTGCAGCCAAACTAAAGTGAAGTGAAGACGACAAGTGAGCCAACTCTCCCATACTACTCATAACAAGAGCTAATATAGCTGGAAATAGATAATGAGTAATGTGACAAAGAGACATGACGCATTGGATAAAATGTAGTGAGCGATAGACATACACACAAGGCTCATAAGCGTAGAATCAGGACATGAATATAAAACGTATATTTGCTTAAAGGTCATGATTGCTTATGAAAATAACAGGGTTATTATTATGGTAAAAATGACTCACTAGTCACATGCTGCCTGAGTTGTTAAAGTCTGTCTATAAGCTGGGATGAATCATGTTAGTACATAGACACCACAGTACAAATCTAATTTTTGCTTGCAAATGAGTTTGCACTGTTCCATGAATCATAAAAAAGGTGGCTGTGGCTAATGCAATGTGTCTGATTAGATGATGTATCCCAGTAGTCTAATAAAATTTTAGTTCTTTTACTTATTTACAATTTCAAATCATACCTTACGATTTTACATATCTGGAAATGTATTAAGCGTTGTTCCTTTGTTTAAACTCATAATTAATCCCACTGCAATATATTAACATTTTTCCTACTGACTTGTTTTTGATGCCTTAACATTTTATGCATAGCCAAGATTCTTTGATGTCAATAACTTTGAAGTTATTTTTGTAATTCAATTTTTGTTAGGCAGGAAAATTAAACATTAAGTTCTTTATAGTAGCTATTACTGCCTACACTAATTAATTGTCTGTTTATAACAGCCTCTAATTAACAGAATTTGTTTCGCATTGTTGAGTCTATTCTAGGCATAAATCGCTTAAAAAAGAAAATAAGCTATACTTACTATATCATGGAAAACCTGCTGACTAATCTCATTTTTACGGATTGCTATTTATCATAAAAGATTTCCTGAGACCTTGTTTTATTTTCTTAATTACATAGTAATCAATACTAAAATACCAACAGAAATTCAATGTAAACCTGGCTGTTATAAAATTAGTTAGTGAAAGTTTCATATTACTTGGTCATTTCACTCGTAAGCAACCGAATTCTGTGGTTATGTGTATTTAACGTGCGAATTTGTTCTGAATTGAAGATTGTCATTGTTTTGTATCCACACTTTTAATGATGATTAGGTGATTGATTGACCAAATTTTATTTTGGTAGATTTTAAAATTAACCACTCATTGTACTCAAATCCAATTTCTAAGATAGTTCAAGCCCTAGATATCTACTCGAGCATGGTGTGAAAACTTTGTAGTCGAAGATATTATTGTATCGTATCTAAGTGCTTGTCATCACAGACTCTTGATTCAACAACTAGTTCACTCCGTTAATTGATTGTTCATATATCCTCTCTTAAATCAAACTATGCAGACAAAAAACTTCATATATGTGTACATGTCTTCTAATTTGTCCATTTTATTTTTGCTGTTCAGGCACTGATTGCGTAATTTTATATGTATGCATTTCTGTTGTATTTGCAAAAACGTACAAAAAAGATAAGTGTTCCCATTCATTAATGTTTGTTCCGAGAAAAATCGTTGAAAATAGTTTTAAAAATATGTGATTACTCATCAGTTGTTTATTAGCTAGACCTAATGGCATATTCTGTGTTTGTATGTGTTGGGATGTACTTTGGGGATAAGACATTTAGTAATGTTTCAAGTATTGTAATACAATGCCAACAAACAGTATTAGTAAATGTCTTCTAGTAAAGTATTGTGATCAGATCGATAAATCCACCAAAACCTTAATAAATTGGTTTATGTTGAATTTGATTGGACTGATCAGTTTACTCGACTAGATAATTGATTCTTCTCTGTTGTAATAAATTGCGCAAATGTTTTCTTTAATGAACAATTCTTCATTGCTTTTGTTGGCTTCCTAATTTCTTCCCAATGCCCTTACTCCTAATATCTTAGAAGGAGTACACTACTTCTGATTCTAAAAGTATTTGCCATAGTTAATGATATCAGTGATGCAGTTAAAATATATTTCACCCTTACTTGGGGTTTTCCACAAATACATATTTGGATCTCTAAAAATGATCCATTTTATGTTTTATGGCCACTGACTAATATGACGTAAAAAAACCACCAGTCAGCATCCCAATTCACATAATTTAGCATCTGAGTTAATCAATTACACGTCCAACCAGCACTAGTAACTTTGGGTCAACTGTCAATTCCTTACCGGTCACCATCCTGTAGTTCTCTCACTGCCCTGCCCTTGAGTTCAGAAATCGTTAATCAGCCTCCACTATATTATATTTCCACAAGACATAGCTTCTATACAGCGATACCAGACCACATCACGCCATGAAGTGAAAAATAACAATTATACATAATCAAGCCAAGAAGTGGCAATGAATAGGGAAGGCAGTAAATAACAAATTGGCGACAGATTGTGAATGGTAAATCGTATAAACAAAAATCATATAATAAAAATATATATAACAATAGTTCGTAGATTAGTTCTAGAAGTTGCTATCCCTTCAGTTTTCGTTAGCATATGACAATCCAAGTTATCACATTCACGTTTTCTAGTTTTTTGACCAATTGAATATAAAGAATATGTGATCTTGTTTACTTTTCACGCTCATATATAAAGTCATTTTTTTTGAAAAATGTGTTGAATTATTCTTTATAGTAAATGACAATAGATTTTTTTAAAAACCATTGGATATGATTAGTTTCTGTTCACACTACTTATTCACATGCATTAAGTCTTCTGGATTTGTTAAATGGAAGTCATTCTCATTTTCAAGAAGCTGTACATAACAAAATGTTCGTTATTAATGATGATAAAACTCATCAGATAAACACTAAGTAAATTCAATTATAAAGCAGTATTTTTTTTATCTAAACACGATTAATTGCAACTAGTTTTTATCAAGTACATTACTTTGATTCGTTCGTGTTTTTTATGTGATCTAGGTTGGTATACTTCGGTAATTTTCGAAACCAGAGTTCCTGACTCCAGTGATCTGCTAACATATATGTTGTATGAATAAACAGATCTAGGAATTGTGAATGGTTTATCTGACTGAGAAAGTGTAGATTGGCTAGTGTACCAAATTTACTTGACTCAGTATATCTAGACAAACTTTAATGAGCTACGACATGTTGTAGCTGAAATAGCAGTGTTGAACTGGTAATTTTGTAGGATTACAATCCAAATCCGATTGCTGTCCAATTTATGACTCAAATATGGTTATTACGTTCGTGTTTATTCACTAACCGATGATGTTCCAGATAGTTTAATTAAGACTTTTAATGGAGTTCTTCTGAAACTTAGATTGTTTCTCTAAATGAAGTTTTGCATTTCACTTATTCCAAGTCGGACGGCTTGTGCATAGGTTTTGGTCATACCGACTAGTAGCCGTTATTTGTCTGCTGAATTCAATTAATGTGTTACCTAATATATTGTTGGGACTTCAGTTACATCATTAGTGGTGTGGGTCGCGCCCTAATGAATGTGGTTTTTGAGTTTTCATTTCTCATTTTCTTTTATATCTATAAGTATAGTTGTGCATATAAACCAATTACAATAACTAGTCCTGCTTTTGAAAAAAACATGATTTACATTCTGCTATTAACTAGGGTATATTATACCTTATTACATTGAATTAATTCTAGTCAACATGTAGGATTCAAGTGTTAATCATTATCGTCGTCGTTAATACATGTTACGTAAACGGTTGTAAATTATGACATGGACTTTCACAAACGTGTACATCCATATTTCCTGAGTAATTCTGGCGTGCCCACAAAAATTCAAGTACACATGTTAATCTTTACTTAGGTGATTCTTAGCGTTTTGATTTTGACATAGCTGCTTAGACCTATGAACAATTTATGACCATCCCTGCGCTAAGCGTCATACTTATTCTAATGTATTGGGATAATTTATATGTAGGCTTTTTTTAATTTGTGTAAAATATACATTGATGCTCAACAGAACTAACCTTATCATTTCAATTCCATAATTTCGTGAATGTCTCGATAGGAGATTATATTTTTGAGATGAGACTGCGTTGCAGCCAAATAAATTATTTCTTCCTCACATGATCATGGCTATGACGGGTAAACGCGAAATAAGATTGGTTGGTTTTCGATTTCTGTTTTCTTCCTTGATTAATTATTTATTATCTAACATTCCGTCGTATCATAGGTGGCTATTTTCTAGGATTTTTAATTCCTAGACTTATTCAGTCATTTCGTCCTGTCTTCCTATATCCAACTGATATAAAGAGATTTGCTCCTGTCTTCATCATCATTTCAGGTATCACAATTAATTAACTAATTTTATCAGTCATATCACTTGTACTCCTAAACACTTCATGTAATAAGCCATGTTAAAAATTCCTTCTAGCAGTGTAGTTGATAAGTAAATATACAATAATAAAATGAATTCTGTTTTTTCCACAGTCATAATTTTGCCTATTGTGGCGCTCTTTAATGCTTTTTGTAGAAAGCGATTTCTATCGGCAGTTTGTTGTTTTAGTCGGGATTCCTTTTAACATGTGCCGTTTTAAAATCACCCATCCATTTAGTAAAATGTTTGCTCCTTTTCGTCAGATTTTATGATGGTATCAATAGTACAGAGAATAATCTGTATACCCATATTTTAGGTAATCGAAGGAGCTGGATATCAAGTGTATGCACAAATGTCTGAAGAATTCAATGCTTATGTAAATATGATTGGAAAACACGTTGACAATGGTGACCCATTTATTCCGGGAGTTTATAACCCAAATCCAGACTCTAAGAGAACTACATCTACTAATGGGACGAATAAAACCAATGCAAATACAGAGTCCCATGGTAACAACACTTCGATAAAGGGACATAATGGCCGTATTCGCCATAAGCGTTCGTCTTGTTCATCACTTCAGGGAGATAGTTCACTGCTAGCTCAATCTAATCGTTATATTCAAAACAGTAAGCATGTTTTTCCAAATGAAGAAGCAAGTGACGAAGCGTCTGAATAACTTTATTCACTTAATGAAGCCTATTGTCCCCGTTAATTATGTGATATTTCTTGTCACGTTGAGGTCTATTCGCTAAATAACATGCTGTGATCTGAATTTTCTGAAATTGTAAAGTATTTAATCTACTCATATCAGAAAATACGTAGACAGCAATACAATTCCCATAATTGTTCCAGTCTTTCTAGTTCAAAAATACCATGAAGAGACCATAACATTTAGTGTTTTTATCTTCCAGTCTCATCCCCCTCCCTGTTTTGTTTCTACTTTTGATATATTTTATTTGATTAAAATTCATCTTTTACTATCTCTCATATAACTGTCTCTGTTAACCCAAGCAGTTTGACAGGTGAAGTTTACTGCTTGATACCAATAATCATAACAAATAAGATTTACAAACATTTATTTTTTAATTTAGGTACCTATAAAGTAATTTGTGATATAGAGGAAGTTAATTCTGTATAATTGTTTCCTTTTGTTTAGAATTCATATTTAACAGAGTATAAATAATTTCTCTAGCTCCTATATCTCGCATTGGTTCAATCAAAAGGATTCTATGTATTAAATAACGATTACCCAGAAAAATTAACTTCTCATTTATTTAGTTATTATTTTCTACCGAATTTTTTTACTCAAAATTTATTTTCTTATGTATTTTTATTTGATAATTATTTTTAGTTTGATTGGTAATGCAATAATGAATTATATCGTCAATGCTTCACAATTTTTCTTTATTGTGATGTGTTGGTCTTCAAAATCGTGATTCAGAGCTAGATGGAATGAGTTTCTAAGCATCTATCAGTTCTGTAGGCGCCGCTAAAATCCACTGACTTTTGTTGACCCTTCGGTTTAAGTTACCGGTAGGTATCACTGCTTTCTCCACAGATTTCTAGATATCACACCAAGCTACATCGGGATAGATACAACTTTCACGGTTAAACAATTTTATTCTCTACTGATTCCTGAAATACAATCTTAATTTTTTCATCATTAAGTTGGACTCTAAGGGGTTTTCTTCCCGTGACTTTTCTGCGTCCAGTAGGATGCAGACAAATACGTACTCAAAATAGAGAATGATCCGAGTCTAAACATGTGCTCCAGAATGAGACTCTTCAATCGAGCCATTCCAACGATGGCTAATGGCAATGTGATCTACTTGAATCCATAGATGAGTTGATTGTGGAGGTCGCCGTGCCAGATAATGTTTCTCCTTACTCCTAAAGTTGACGTTTGCCAAGAATAGACGCAACAGACAGTCACTATTATCCGTTCTGTGAGCCACAACATCGTAAAGGCTTTTCAGTTTGGTTGAGTTTACTTACTTGAGCATTAAAATCACTTGCCACTATTGCTAAATCAGAACGCCTAGCTTTTGAGGGAGGTTGGATAGCTTTCCACAAAATCCATCTTTAACTTCACCCGAGCTGCAATCAGTGGGAGGATATGTAGAGAAAACGAAAAAGTAACGGTGTATGTCCCTATCTTCTCGAGTGCTTACTGTCCCGACTATCTATTGAAATCCGGTCTAGCGAATCCTGTCCTACTTTAAAACTTAATGCTATACCTGCACCAACGAAGCCCCGGAAGTAGCAGTGGGGTCTCCAGATGCTCAAAGAGTAACTGAAGAAGCCTGTTCTCCAATCCGACACAAGGTTTGAACATTAAAAGCTCCAACATGTAGTTTGGAGTGCAGTTTCAGGAAACCAGTAATACGATTGCATGAACTCAAATCATTAGCATTGGTGGCACGTAGTGATAAAGATAAATAAGGGTTAGTTGTAGAGATCGAAGAATTATTGTGAGGTGAAGGAGGGATTCGATTGCCCACAAGGATGATCTCAAGAGTTGATAGAGGTATGAGGGCGGTTGTCACTTCCTGGTTGCTCACATTGTGGAAGGATAGTTCTTATTAAGGGACCTGAAAAGGAAACTGAGTTAGGGATTGTCTAAGCGACCTGGGAGCGTGACCGCAAACCAAAAGGGACAACTGCTTGAAGCCGGTCGTGCATGGTCTTTTTACGGAAGGTTTTTGATGCGACAGCTCCGCACTTCAAAAGGCCTTACCTCCGGAGACGGGAACCCGTGGGGTGACGTGTGGCATTTTTAGGGTCGACCTTTTCTAACCCTTTCCTTCTGTCATGAGAAGCCAGCACTGCCGCGCCGCAGATGCTGGTTGTCCGAGGGAGATACCTTACTCTTGTCGCGCCTCTCTACGGTCAGCAGTACGACTTCGCCCTCGGACCTTGAGCTACTGCTTCTAGTCTTGACGTCCTCCAACCAACCAAACTGGCATGGTAGGACCTAAAGGGACATGTATTCCAGCCAATATAGCTCAGTTGAGTCGTTATAATACGCAAGTTTGATCACCACGCCACGACAGCAACTACGGTCGGGCATATTAAACGCATTTCAGCAAAAAAGACAGTCGCGTTACTGAACTACAATCTTTGATTTGGAATTGATTTCAGTAAAACCATACCTTACAATTCCCACCATAAGGGCCGACAAGTTTTCCGTACAGATCATTACTGGGCTTTTTGAACACAAATGGAGAATGAGAGTAGCAGAAATATTGACTAGTCTTAAGAGTATGAACTGCTCCTGACATTTTCAGTTAGTAAAGGAATAAACTCTTTCGTGAAATTAATGGTTGAAGTAAAGTTGGTGTTCACCAAATTACGTGCTTGATTACTGAATGGAACCAGATAGCCTATAGAGATACGTCAAAGTAGTAAAACGACTTAGTAGGCAATTTCAGCATTATTTACTGTAATGGTGATACCATTAGGATAGTTCTTCTGAGGGGCGGTATAATTTCAAAAGTTTCTCGACAATACTGAATCCGATACCTTTATTTGATCTAGTTACGAATGCCCCGATAACCGAACTGATACTCAGTTGCGTCACAAATATATATGAAAACCGTTAAGAACAAAATGTTTGCCAGGAGTTATTCGGAAGTTGGAAAGCCTTCGGTACGATCCACTTTTTATTGCGTTGGGGAGTGTAAAGAAACCATAAGCGGGTAACTGTGTAACTCGTTAAACAAGCGACCGTCAACTGACATCTAGTTTAGAAGTGTTGTTCCTATTTTTCAACTTCATGACGTATTTACACTCAACTAGCAACAAGCAGATGGTCAAGCGAATAGTCTCACTCGAGTCTAATATGAAGTGTTCAGAGATACAACATATACTTGTGGCACATAATTGCAGATTTCTGACTGGCAACCCCTGCTATGTGACTTGACGTAGAGTTCAAACATGAGATTTTGAGCAACATTTCGGGGGAAAGGAGATAAAATTTTGTAACCTCAAACCATTGTCATTGGTTGCACATGCAGGAAAAGATGAGAGATTGGTAACAGAAACAGAAAATTTGCAAAACGAAATAGATTAACAATGAATAGAATGGTGCTCGTAGTATGCTGGTGATCGGAACTTTACGGACGCTCAGATGGTGGATGGACATCTCCTTGTGTTAAATCTGACAAAGGGACTGAACATTAATAATTTTATTGGATCGGGAATGTGGTATTAGACCCCAAAAGACAACTGCTTGAGCTTGGTCACAAGGGGATTTCTGGGGAAGTATTTTAATGCAGCCTTAACAATTCTTACTCCTTATCTCCAGAACTAGGTAAGGTTGAATGATATTTCTGAAGCCGTCTTCTCAGTTCCCTCTTCTGAAAGTGGAAAAGTATTGTCGTCACAGGTGTTCTGTAGATAAAAATGATTGTTGGTGCACCTGGATACAGTTAGAAGCATGACTCCATGGACTCGAGGTTATCTCCAATTTCTATACCATTTAATCAACTCCCTAGGGATAATAGGACTTCAAATAACAAGTGATTCAGCTGAAATACCTTGACTTGTTTGCAGGGTCAAGCTGGTATTTACATTTCTGACAGGTACTTTTCTATTTCGTAGCTGATATTAATCAATATTTAGATTAAATTATATGATAGTAGATGGATATGAAGACTAAAATTTATCGTGAAAATATTAAAATACGATCATTTAAAAGTAACAACATAACCTTATATCAGCTCTTACCAGCATATCAACGATGAGAGAATGTTCTCTTGAATAGAAAGTCCTAACAATGGATCGGACTAGTTTTATCAGACATAAGGGTACTTTAGTTGAATCTTTTTGATTCGATGTAGTGTAGTGACCGGCCAGTCTCGATAAGAACACGATTGGAACAACGGAAACAACTATTATTATTGTAATCAATTGTACCAGAGATTGTTTTACTGTATTTGTTTAACTGTATCAGTTTCACTTCTGCTTTCGCTCTCCGCCTTGTTTGGTTCGAACTTGCTCACGCACTGCCTGTACGCCTGTACTCTTTGACACGTCTCGTTATTATTTCGACACCACGAGACCGCCAATAAATACAATTGATCTGGATTAATAAAGTCTTCTTATTTACGAGCTATCAAAGGAACCAAGTCGTTTTTGGGCGCGTAAACGAATTGTAGTGGGGATCATAGTCCGTCTTCGACTCGACATCCACTACAGTAGCGTCAGCTATTTGGCGAACGGAACTGGATGACGGAAGTCTTACTGCAGCAGGCGATGAGTCTGGGACTATGTTTTTAGCACCATTAGGAGTTGGGACAAAAGGAAAAATTATTCAAACCATTTATCTCCTCCCTGGTATTTAGATGGTCTTCATTTAAAAGAATTATGACGTCTCATGATAGAAGCGAAGTTCCCTCGGAAGTCACGAGGCTGATGACCCTTCTGAGCAACCAATGGAATTTTCGTACAATATGGTGGACCGTGAGAGCCATCCCAGTTACCGCAGAAATGAAACGATACAACCTGGAGGTTCTTGGAATCAGTGAAACACATTGCGCGCAGGTTGACCAACAAAGACTAGCTTCAGTAGACCCACTGATATACTCAAGCCATGAAGAAGAAAATGCTCCACACACAAGACGTTGCACTTATGCTGTCCAACTAAGCATAAGATGCACTTCTAGGATGGGAATCTCATGATTCAAAGATCATCAAAGCCTTCAAAACGAAGAAAGAGAGCATTACAGTGAACGTCATCCAAAGCTATGCGCCTACCAACGACTACAATGAAGATGTTAAAGATCAATTCTACGATAGGCTGAAGTCAATTGGCAAGAAGTGCCCAACAAAGGACCTGACCATTTTGATGGGAGATTTAAATGCCAAGGTTGGAATGAACAACATTAGATACGAAGACATCATGGGACGACATGAAGTGGGAGAAAGGAACCAAAGGTAGTGAGAGATTTGCAAACGTGTGTGCCTTCAACAGACTGGTCGTAGGTGGCACCATATTCCCACATAAACGCACAAACGAAACCACTTGGATTTCATCTGATCACACTACACAGAACGAAATCGAGCATATCTGCACTAACAAAAGGTTAAGGAGGACGTGAGAACCAGGAGAGGGGCTGATATAGCATCAGATCATTACTTCATGGTTACCAAGATGAAATTAAAACTTAAGAAGCACTGGACAACGGGGTGGACAACATCACAAAAGTATAATACGGATTTTCTTCGGGACACTGACAAACTCAACGAAATCAAGATAGCCCTCAGCAACAGGTTCCAGGCCTTTCATGACCTACTCAATGGAGAGGGAACTACTATGGAGAGCAACGGGAAAGAGAAAAAAGAGGCGAACGTTTCCACATGTCAGGAGGTTCTGGGCCACAAGAAGCACCATCATGGAGTGGATCACTGTTGATACACTACATAAGACTAAAGAATGGAGGAACAAGAAGGCAGCAATCAATACCTGCCGAACAAGAGCAGAAAAAGTCAAATCACAAGCCGAATACACAGAAGTAAACAATTATGTGAAGAGAGGCATCAAAACCGACAAAAGTAAATATGTTAAAGAATCTGCAGTGACGGCGGAAAAGGCTGCAAGAGAAAGGAACATAAGACAACTGTATGATATAACAAAGAAGCTCGCTGGGAATTGCCGAAAACCAGAACGACCAGTGAAGGCAAGGTCATCACCAACATTGAGGAACAACGAAACAGATGGGTAGAGCATTTCAAAGAACTCTTGTATCGATCAGCTCCACTGAACCCACCCAACATCGAAGTAGCACCTACGTCCTATGATATTCAAGATAATTAGAATTATGGTATGAACTAGTAGTCCCAGCAATAACGCAATTTAATCAAGTATTACATGAGCGAGAGCGAATGTATGTACTGTATTCTGAATTCAAAATCAAAACAGTCATCTATACAGAGGAGTCATCGTTTCATTCAAACACTACACTCGCCACAGCTTAAATTGGAGTGTCAGTGTCTTATATCGATTGTACGTCTTCTTCTTAAGTTCCCCTTACGTCTGTCAGACAGTTTATTGAATGCAAACTCTGTATTATCTCGAATTCACTCGTTAGTATTGAAGATACGACCAGTATTCTAGTTTGACAACTAGCATCCAGTAACGCCTATATTCGAATCGTCCCCCAACCAGTTAAAATCACAAGTCGGATGAGAAGAGATCGGAAAGATATATTTGACACGTTATCAATATATCGGGAAACGTTTACTGTAATCTGGCTAGTGAAAGTAGGAGCTGTGTCCCACGCTGAGTCGTAACGTGATCTGGTGCGGATGCCTGACTGAACGCCTTCAGTTAAACAAGTCCACTTAAAACAATGTGGTCAGCATCCAATGTCGAACACTTAATGAGCTATTGATTTTGGGGAACTATTTACAGCTACAGTATTAGAATTAACAACCGAAGTTGGAACAGAGTCACCTTGGTCCTGGAATTGTATTTGATCAACATGTCGGTTATGTATACTGAAGTCATTGATATCCAGAATTCGCACCATAGATTTTCTAACATTCCCACGATAATATGTATTTTCTGCAGACTCCAAACACCCCGTATTCAAACGAAGAATACTTCCTCTTAATAGCTTTGATGAAGTCTCTTCCGTCACAGAATGTTTAGCATTTCTATATTGAAGTATAAATGCATCTCTTCTCCTCTCCAGTTCATTAAATGTTAAAGCGGCAATAGAATCAATAGCAATTTTCCATGTCCTGAAGAAATTATCAGCCTGGCCATTTGAACAAGGGTGCCTGGTAGCA